GCTCAGTTCTGCTGTAGAACAAATCCTTGATTTTTTTTTTATTTTCTTTCTTCTTAAATTTGTTTTTAAAAATGTGTAAATTTATGGGATACTAGTGCTGTTTTGGTACATGGATATATTGCTTAGGGGTGAAGTCAGGGCTTTTATTTGTAACCACCACCTGAATTGTGTCCATTGTGCACCAGTAAGTAATTTCTCATCCTTCACCCTCCACTCACCCTTCCACCGCTGAGCCTCCGATGTCTAGTATTGTTGTTAACTACGGCCATCCTACAGTGCTACGGAACTCTGGAATGTATTCCTCTCACGGAGCTGTAAATCTATATCCTGTAACAAATCTCTCCCCAGTCCCCTTCCCACCTGCCCTTCCTGCTTCTTGTACCTTCTATTCTACTTTTGACTTCCATAAGGTCAACTTTTTTTAGTGTTCACATATGAGTGAGACGATGTGGGGTTTAACTTTCTGTTCCTGGCTTATTTCTCTTAATATCGTGCCCTCAAGTTCCATCCATGTAGCCACAAATGACAGGATCCACATCTTTTTATGGCTGAATACTATTCTATTATGTGTATCTGTTGTGAATTTATACGTTTTCTTTATCAAGCCATCTTTTTATGGACATCTAGATTGAGATTACAGATCTTGGCTATTGGGACTAGTGCTGCAATACACATGGAGGTGAAGATGTCTTTTTAGTATACTGTTCCTTTTCTTTGAAAAAATGCTCAGTAGTTGGGTTTCTGGTATGGTAGTCCTATTGGTAGTACTTTAAGGAGCCTCCATACTGTTTTTATAGTAATTGTACTAGTTTACATTCCCACCAACAGTGTATAAGAGTTCCCTTTTCTCTATATCTTTGTCAACATGTTATTTTTTGTCATTTTGATAATAGTCATCTTAGCTGGAATGAGATGATACCTCGCTGGAGTTTTGATTTGCATTTCCCAGATGACTGGTGATACCAAGCCCTTTTTTATATTTTGTTACCATTTGGATGTCTCCTTTTAAGAAAAATCTCTTCATATCTTTTGCCTCTTTGGGAATTACTTGTTTCCTTTTTCTTGCTGACTTGTTTGAGTTCTTTATAGAGTCTGGATATTACCCCTTTGTTGAATGTGTAGTTTGTGGATATTTTCTCCCGTCATATAGGTTGTCTGTTCATTCTGTTTACTTCCTTTATTGTACAGAAACTTTGTAGTTTAAATAAGTCCAGTTCATTAATTTTTGTTGCTGTATGTGATTTGTGATACTTTTAAACATGTCTTAATTTACCATTTCATAAAATAAGTCATTTGTTTTAAAAAGGGAAGGGAAACATTTGTTCCAAAGAACAAGTCATATTAACCCAAATGTCTTTCTTTAAGACAGGTTTTGGGCTGATAGATTAAAGAAATGTGGTAGACAGAGTGTCAGAATCTGAAAGGACTTTGACTCTATCTCAAGCTCAGTGGTTCTCAACCTTCCTAATGCTGTGGTCCTTTAATACAGTTCCTGTGGGTCACAACCCACAGGTTGAGAACCACTGCTCAAGCTACTTTTAATGGGAAAATATGATCCATAAGCAATGGAGGATATCAGTAACCTAGTTGGATGAAAGATTCCAGGGAACAGATGAGTGCCAACCTGGAGGAAGGATTCCAAGACATGCTATAATGCTCTACCATGGGTATTTCCCAGAATGTTACTTATATCAATGATCTAGATGAAGTTATTTCCAAAAATTAGTAGCTTGTGGAGAAAGAATATGATGATAGGCTGTCATACTCAGATCAGTGAAAGAAGATGGAAGTCATTAAATGGTAAATAACAACTCCATACTTGGGTTTCAAAACTACAGCCACATCTCTCTATGTAGAAGTAGGCTTCTAGGATATTGGCTATATTAACCAAAGCTCAGTATAAGTAGAGAAAGCAGTGATAGTTTAGATCCGTGGTTCTCAACCTTCCTAATGCCGCGGCCCTTTAATACAGTTCCTATGGGTTGTGACCCACGGGTTGGAAACCACTGGTCTTGATGATCATGTATCAGCAAGTCCTCATATGTGCAGCCACTACACATTAAGAGGGACAAAGTAGACCATATCTCAGGATTACTAGCTAAGATGGCTTAAAAGACTTAAACTCTTATGATATGAGGAACTGCTGAAGAAGAATGATAAGGAGCCCGACACCATCTTTCAGTATCTTGACATCTTTCCTGCACAAGGAAGAGCTACTTCTGTGCAATCTGAGGGACAGAATCTAGACCTTTGGTGATAATGATGAGATTAACTCTGGGAGTCATACTTAGGTGTAATGGCAGTGACAATTTCTAGCATTGAGAGGTGCACATAGATGGACTAGACTCCACTGAAGACGTTATCATTTCTTCTCTGCTTCTTGGAGCATGGAGGATTCCGTCTCCCAATCTCACTGACATTGGGCATGGGCATGTGACTGGTTCTAGCCAATAAAACATGAGTAAAAGTGAAAATGTTTGTTTCTGATTGAAAGCATTTGATCACCAGGGCTAGACTCTTAAGGACTCTTTTCCCTTGTGTTAAAATGGATGTACCAGCTCTGGTCTCTGAGTGATTACAATGATCACAGTGTCTTCCAGCCCCACCCTCCCCTCAGACCCAGCCACACACCTGCATTGGACATCTCGTTTGAGTGGAAAGGAAACCTTTGCTGTGTTTAGCTACTGACGTTGGGTTTATTGCTGCATCATAACCTTTTCTATTCTGACTGACTCAAGAGCCTTTAAGATGTGGTGGTTCTTTGTGAGTGAGAAGCAGCGAGATAAGCATTAGATTCTTAAGAGGTTTTGGTTTGGTGACTCACAATCTTTGGGTTTTACTGTCATTGCTGTGCTGCATTCAGACTTCTGTTGGGGGTACAATTTAGTCAACTGGAATTTTCAGCTGGCTACAGGGTCTCCTGGAAAGTGGATCCCAGTAAATTGGTTCTCTTTTTCAGCATACTCTTTTTTTTTTTTTAAATTTCAGAACATTATGGGGGTGCAAATGTTTTGGTTACATGGGTTGCTTTTATCCAGTTTGAGTCAGTTCTAAGTGTGCTCCTCTCCCAGATAGTGTGCACTGTACCCATTAGATGTGGAGTGACTTCTCCCCTCCAGCCCTCTCCCATCTGCTCACTTTCCATTGAGTTTTACTACAAAATATGCACATGGGGATTGATTGATTGGTTCCAATTTAATAGGAGTACATATGATATTTGTTTTTCCATTCTCATGAAGCTTCACTTAGAAGAATAGTCTCCAATTCTATCTAAGTTGTTGCAAAAGGTATTAGTTTACCATTTTTCTTTTTTTTTTAATTGAATGGTAACTATGTACATTAATGCACTTACCATTTTCTTTTTTGAGACAGTTTCATTTTGTCACCCTTGGTAGAGTGGCACTGCGTCATAGCTTACAGCAACCTCAAACTCTTGGGCTCAAGCAATTCCCTTGCCTCAACCTCACAAGTAGCTGGGACAACAGGTGTCTGCCACAATACCTGGCTATTTTTAGAGAGGAGGTCTCGCTCTTGCTCAGGCTGGTCTTGAACCTGTAAGCGCAGGGCAATCCACCCGCCTCAGCCTCTCTGAGTGCTAGGATTTACAGGCATGAGCCACCAGGCCCAGCCTAGTTCACCTATTTTTATGGCTAAGTAGTATTCCATGGTACACATATGAGTTCAGACAATTAATTTTGTAAACTCATCCTAGGAACAGTGCTACCTTCCTCATTGCTGAATATCTCTATGGTCACTGTCAAAGTGCTCCCCTGGGGAAGCTATGACACCAATGCCAATGCACCCTTCAAATCACATTTTCTAGGGTGAGTTTGAGAACTTCATTGTCAGACCTCATATACCACATTTTATTAATTCACTCATGTATTGATGGGCACTTGAGTTGGTTCCACATCTTTGTAATTATAAATTGTGCTTCAGTGAATGTTCATATCCAAAAATCTTTTTGATAGAATGATTTTTCTGTCCTTTGGGTAAGTACCCAAGAGTGGGATTGCTAGATCAAATGGTAGGTCTACTTTTAATTATTTAAGGTATCTCTGTATGAATTTCCATAGACACTGCACTAGTTTGCAACCCCCTCCAGCAGTGTATAAGTGTTCCTTTCTCTCCACGTGCCTGCCAGCATCTGGTGTTTGGGGATTTTCTGATAAAAGCCTTCTCACTGGAGTTAAGTGGTACCTCACTGTGGTTTTGATTTGCATTTCCCTGATGATTAGAGATGCTGAGTATTTTTTCATATTGGCCCTTTGGCACACTCATTGTTAACTCTGCCGCACACCCAGCCGCATCACAAATTCGTGGATGCTATGCACTTTGAGAACAGCCAACAGTAACTGCCAACAGTTCACCCAGCAAGATTCTGTTGCCTCTCCACCCCCAATACACAATATTATTTATGAGAACTGAAGCCCTACCAGAGGTCTCAGGGCCAAGTGACTTTTTGAACATGAACTTTGCAGTTTGATTTCTACACATTTGATATAGACTTCACTATTGCCAAAGGTCCTTTCAGTCGTGTGTGTAGATGCATTATTGCTTGTGATAAAGTTTCCCAAGGATGCACTGTTCCATTCACTCACTCCTGCAACGGAACCAATCACACGGCACACTGCGGCGTACCCACTGGGTGCTATTGTAAATACCACAGTGTACTCACTAAATATTATTATTAAAGTTGTTGAGGGCTAGGCGGAGACGGTATCTGATGTATTTATAAAGTGATTCTGTCAGAGGAAGAGGTTTATGAGGTGGTAGAATCCTTATGATGTGAACCAAACAGTTTATCTACCTAGCCCGAGAAGAAATAAAGAAATGAAATTAAAAGGTGACTCCAATAGGAGGAAAAAAAAAAACGGAAAGGGCAAATTTAAAATTATAATTAAAAAGACATATGCCGCCTCTATATAGGCATATATGTGTATATTTTCTTTATATAACCCGCAGCTAAGTAACTGGTACCTCATTTTTGTTATTCACAGGAAACCAAAATCAACTGTGTGCGTCTAGCTACGAAAGGTATGTTGGCATGTCCTTGTCTGTGTTCAGCTGTTCTTTAGCCTTTCAAGTGATGCTTTCCCTCTAGCTACCCAGGAAAGTTTAGGCAACAATGACTGAAAACAACAAGAAAGGATTGTTATTTTCATTGGAGTCATTGGCATCTGGACCATACATTCTAATATGTATGTGAGAACTCAAAACACATTTCCTGAATGCACGGCTGCATGAATGGATGGACAGGGGAGGGATGAAGGCAAATTGACTGAAATGTTATTCTGTTAGCTGTATTTATTGTAGTGGGCCTGCGTTTGTGTGTTTTCCTTTAAGCATGTCTGTTTGGCCCATCTTCAGGGTTTTGGACTTCATTCAATTGGTAGGTAGATGCCTCTCAACGATGAGGCAATTCGTGTTGGTGCCTTTGATAATGAGAAGACCAAGGCTGCTCTGCTGTGTAGTTGGCCTTTCCAACACTTATCCCCCAAACTAAGGCAGCAGTGTTCGGGCTCATCACTTCTGTTTTCCTAATTATAATTGAATTGCCTGGCTCTTTCCATTGGTACACGGTTCTGTTGATTACTCTTTTTAAAATACGAAGTCAGTGAATAGTGTGTTATCATTTAACCTATTACAAGGTTGAGTGGTTAGAAATCAGGCTTATATTTTTGTTATTGAATTGATATTTTTAACAGCAACCCCCCCCCCCAAATACACGTACTCCAAAATTCAAAATTGGGCAATTCCGTTCCCTGCGTTTATTGACAGCACATATAGTTTCATCACTTGCTTCCGAGGAGATAGAAATTGTTAATAAAAGGAGACATATTATCACAGACACAACCTAGAGGCAAAGGCAGTGACCCAGGTATGTGTGTGTATGTGTGTAAATGTATATGCACAAGCACCCACCTATATAGGCACACAGAGGGGCAAGGAAGGCGGGAGACAGAGGAAAAGAAAATCAATGGCTATTGGACAAGATATGCACCAAGATGGTAAGGTGACTTTTATAACTGTGGAGAAAATCAGCTCCATGGGAGGCAGAAAGGGAAGGAGCAAGAGGAAGGAGGGGACAGAAGCACAGAGGACTCACCGTGATAAGAAGTCACCCTGATTTCACTTAAGTCACAGAGGCCAGCATGTCCCGAACTTGTTCCCTCTAAGGACTCCAGCTACTAGATGGAAAGAGATAAAATACTTTCTGTGAGGCAAGGAGAATTAATGGCCTGCAAACAAAAGTGACACAAATCACAGGCCTTGGCAGGCTTTTGCACTGAAGAAAACAGATAATGTAGAAGAAAGAACACCATCAATTGGGCAGCACCAGGGCCCTCGACAGCGGTCAGGACAGGCTGGTGTCTGTAGCTTAAACAGGCAGCCGGGGGGAGGGAGGCTCACAGGGAAACCTCCTGCACGGTGAGCTGCTCCATGGCTTCCCGATAGCTTTGGACCTCTAGACTGGGGGGGAGGTCATTGCAATGACACTATACTCCAGAGGGGTTCCTGGATTCTAAGGACATCCTCTGGGATGTAAGTTCTCCACAAGGGTACTTTCTGAGCTGAGAACTGGGAACATGTGGCTTGAGAGACAATAGGTACAAATGGGGACAATGGGAGAACATCTAAATCTATAGTCTCCTAGCAATTTCAGGACCACTGCCCTTATAGGCACAGAAGCCCACCATGTCTGGCTTCTCCAGAGTTGCATTGCTGATGTGAAGGAGAAATCGCAGTGGCATTTCAAGAACTAGAAAAGAAAGCTCTCTATCTCCCCTTAGCATAAGGGCTTCTCCCCTTGTTCACTTTCATGTTACCAGGTTCCTTCGGTGGAATGCACGCATGGCTATGAGTGCCCAGCTGGCCATGGCAAGGTGGGGCTCTGGGGAGGCAGGTATTGGAGAGTCCAATCATATACATCCTGCTCTCCCAGTTCATTTGAGCCAGCACTTCAGCCCAAAGAGACGGGGCTCCCATGACACTTGAGAAGGGGGCAGAGAGCTAGGTGATGCAGAATGCCATCAGCCACCATTCAGGAAGTTATCTTTTCTCAGCACCACATCAGATGGGAAGTGTGCCTGGGGACTGCAGAGACAGGGCAAAGGGAGGGAGACACATTCATTAGTGTCTACTCAGTGCCAGGCACTGCAAATGGAATATCCAGAGTCAACTAAAGGCGAATCTTACCTAGATCCATCCATCACCCATGAGGAGTTTGTACCAAGGATCTAAGCCCAGGAATCAACATTTGACCCATCTTTCTGACTACCCAGATCAAACTCCTTCTGGGGTGGGGTTGCTGAAACAGTATTCCCTTTAACACCAAAGATCAGAGAAATACTGGACAAGGTATATAAAGTCCTTCCTAAGGTCTCCCAGCTCTTTGCCATCAGGGAATGGCAGTGTCCAGCTTCCTGAGTGTGACCCCACACCAGACTCAAGGCCAGTGCTCTGGTGACAGAGAAGCTTGCTACCATCCTATCCCTGACCCTGGAGAGCCCAGCCAGTGTGGTCAGCTGTGTGGATCCTGCAGAATCAGATTGTTGCCACTTGGAACAAGCCCACATGCTCTTTCAGGGTTACTCTGATCTGCCCCCAATCCCAGGGCCTCTTATGTTAGACACACAGGACTCCAGCGTGTGTCTCTAACCATTGCCTTTCTGCAATGTTGCTACTGGCTGTCCAGAATCTAATGTAGTACTGTTCAGGTTGGGGGGTTGCAGAGAAAGAGATCTGTATTAGTTTACTATGGCTGTTATAAAAAGTTCTACCAATTAGGTGGTTTAAACAACACTAATTGATTGCCTCACAGTTCTGGAGGATAGAAACCTGAGCTCAGGCTCAGCGGGAATGGTCCCTTCTGAGGACTCTGAGGAAGAATCTGTTCCCTGTGCTTCTTCTGGAATCTGGTGTTTTGCTGGTGATCTTTGGTGCTCCTTGGCTTGTAGAAGCACCACCCTGATGTGTGCCGTGTCTTCATGTGGCATTTCTCCTGTGTGCTGCTCTGTGTCCAAATATCCCCCATACATATATACATGCTTTTTTTTTTTTTTTTTTTTAAGGGATAGGGTCTTGTTCTGTGACCCAGGCTGAAGTGCTCTTGTACAATGATAGCTCATGGCAGTGTCAAACTCCTGGGCTCAAGTGATCCTCTCATCTCAACCTTCTAAGTAGTTGAGTTTTATTTTTGTTATTTGTAGAGATGGGCTTCTGCTGTGTTGCTCAGGCGGGTCTCCTACCCTAAAGCCATCCTCCCCTCTCAGCCTCCCAAAGTGCTAGGATTACAGGCATAAGCCACTGTGCCCACCTCTAAATTATCTTTTTATAAGGACACTGGTCATATTGGAGCAAAAAGCTAGTGGAATTGCCTCAGATACAAGAGCTAAAAGGACATTTTGAGGCTCTTTACTTGACATACCCCAGCCCTGGGAATAGATCTGCTTAGAGCTATAGAGAGAACACCCACAGCCAGTGGGTAAACAAGCATTAAGTTTTATTTTTTCTTTCTTTTTTTGTAAAGACAGAGTCTCACTTTGTCACCCTTGGTAGAGTGCCATGGCGTCACACAGCTCACAGCAACCTCCAACTCCTGGGCTTAGGCGATTCTCTTGCCTCAGCCTCCTGAGTAGCTGGGACTACAGGTGCCTGCCACAACACCTGGTTATATTTTGTTGTTGTTGTTGTTGTTGCAGTTTGGCCAGGGTCATGTTTGAACCCACCACCCTTGGTATATGGGGCCGTGCTCTACTCACTGAGCCACAGGCGCTGCCCAAGTTTTATTTTTTCAATAAAACTATTATTCAGATCTTGAAGGGAAGGCAATAGAAAGTCAGAGAGCAGAAAAGGTCAAATTAAAAATAAGGTTTTGTCCTTCTAATTAAAGCAAGAAATGTGAGAAAGGGCAAGTGAACAGGGGAAGCATTGAGATCACTAACAGTATTTACCCCCATTTGGAAGATGAGGGCTGGGGTTGAGGTATAAGGTGAACCACAGCGATCGTGCTCCACAGCGATCCTTGGGAAACTGGAGAACTTGGAAATGTAAAGGGGGCAGTACTTTGACTTTACAGGTGTTAAACCCCAAGTAGAAGAGAAATCAACTCTTCCTGTGGAAGGTACATCATCCCACCTAGTTAAAGATACTCCAGGCTGTAGCTTATGAAGGAGGTACCCACGTATCTCAGTCCATGCCCTTTCTGGGACAGAACACCCCAGGGACAATTGTTTCTGATATAGTTGTTCAATTTTGAAGCCACACTGGTCAGTTCCTCTTTGAGAAACTGATGTCTACTTCCATCCAAGTTCCCTTGCCCACTGATTCTCCTGTCAATCTACTTCTTCACCCCACCTCCTCCACACACCCATCTGTTCACTTTTCCAATTTCTCTTACCCAGTCTTGCCTGCATGATCTGGCCCCTTCCTACCTTCCACTCTCATCCAGGCATCTATCCTTATTCATTGCTCTCCAGGACACTGTCTTCTTTCAATTCTTCAGACACATCAAGCGCCTTCCAACCTCCAGGCCTTTGCTCATCCTGCCCCCACTGCCTGGAATCCTCTGACCACCATAGGTGTCTCTTTAACAGATAAACATCTTTCAGACTGCAGCTTAAACCTCACTTCCTCAAATGACCTTCCTGACCTCCAGTTTAATGTATACACCTAACTTTTCACTGTCATTAAACACTGTATTTTTTCTTTCATGGCACTCATCACCTTACAAATAAATATATAGATACAATAGGAATCTCCATAATTGACCACCTCCCTACATTGACCACCTCCTCAAATTGACTAATTTTCATAGACTGGACATGTACCACATGTACTCAATGGAAGTATCCTTATGTTGACCACCTCCATTTGTTGACAAATTTGTTACAGTCTCTTGGGTGGTCAGTTTACAGAGGTTATAATGGATGGATGGATAGATAGACAAATAATCTGTTAGACTAAATGTCATAAGTGCAAACACTATGCCTATGTTGAGCACTATTGTACCCCCAGAACTTAGCAAACAGTGG